ATGTAATTAATAGTAAAGATAATTGCGTGTCATTTATAGATTTCCAATATTGATAGTATTAGGTAGTATTACAAATCAGGTAAAAAACATAAGGTAGCCACACTGTTAAAAATGAGTTGAAAATTCAGTTACTTTTCAATACATTTTGTACTGTCAGAAGGGAAGAAATTCATCCAATTACGGCTGCAATTTCTTTCTGTAAAGCAGTCATTGCCAGCCGAAGACCAACTGACCCTAACCTGGCAATTGTGTTGGAGCAGCTGTCATCCATGAAATTGAAAGTGTGAGTTGACGGGTGCCACTTGGTGACTATGGACTCCTATGGTGACTATAACCTCCCTCCTCAGCACAAACACCTGACACACGGTCATCACCGTCCCTCCAAAACGACATGCCCAACAGCGGTAGAGCAACCCCACCCTTCCGAAACAGGACACCGTTAAACCAACCACGCAAAGAACTGCACCCCCAGAAAACCCCAAGACAACGCGACTGGAGCCAACACCTGGATTCAGCGCGATCGCCGCCTGAGCTCGAGCAAATGCTTCAGCACCTTTTTGAAGAAATGGGAACCCATAGGTGCATGCCGGAAGCACGTCGTCCATCCCCTCGACAGCCCCAACAGCCCACCAACACGCCCCAACAGCGACAACCCCAAGGCTATGACGCCTGGGCCGCTTCCCACATCCAGAAATGTGAGACTTGCCCCCACCCGATACCCGAGAACGACAGCGACCCGTTCAGCATCACCTTCACCCCCGAGGAAATTTGAAAGCGGCTGCGACGATGCAGCAACACCGCACCTGGCCCACCACGGTACTTATACACAAAAAGGATGACAAGGGTGACGTCTCGAACGAGTCGGCCGCTGGGTAGCCCGCAACGGACGGATCAGCCCCAGCCAAAAGGGCTTTATGTCCATAGATGGAAGCGCTGAACATAACTTCACCTTTCAGACCATCATCTGGGACGACCGACAGCACCAACAGTGCAGCATCGCGTGGCTGGATCTAACGAACGCTTTTGTGTCCATCCCACACTAAGCCACCTTCGCCACACTAGAATGGGCAAAACAGTAATGGCGCCATCCAAATTGTTTGCCAGCTCTACCAGCAAAGTGAGACTACCATCAGCAGCACAACAGGACCGACGGCGCCCATCGCCATCCACGCCGGAGTGAAGCGGGGGTGTAGCTTTGCGAATTGTTGCTTTGCAATTATATAACAGAATTTCAGTGGAATAGTAAGTAATTGTTTATTAGTTTTATCCAGCACTGCGTGCTCTTAACCCTTTGCTTGCTAGTGTGGCCAGGGCAAGAACTCTTACAGATTAATTATTTCGCTGTTTCCTAGTGTTCCTGTTGTAAGCACACGTTAAGCGATGCGCGCGCAAAGGTTTTCAGACGATAAAATTTAGTAGTTTTATCGGATGTGCGACATATTCGGTTAGTATGTTCTTGTACAAACACGTGCTATTGTACTGAGCGTTGTTGCTACTTATTTTGTTGTGTTCAAGTGTTAATTTTGAACATGTCAAGAGTTAGGGATTAGATATGTATTCTAAGATATATCTTATTGGACCGATATCATAGTGTTTTGATAAAATTTATGTGGTGTGTCCGGGATGAACACACTAGGCCTTACAAGTATGTTTTTTGCATGTGCTGAAAAAAATATATATAAAGACTTGGAAAATCTAGATCCACATGACTTGTTCGATTTGTTAGAGGAAATCCCCCACGACAACCTCAGTGAGCTGGGTGATGTCAGTGAGGACGAAATTGTAGCAGAAGAGGAAATTTCAACCAATAGGCCATTGTCAAGCGCAACTGATGTTTTTGACATAGAGGCAATGCCTATAATTTTTGACAATGAGCGTGATTCGGCGGAATCAGAAGAATGGAGCAGTGAAGACGAAATTCCGATTTCTGTAGTAAAGGCCCGAGAGCTCTCGAAAAAAACGATTTGGACAAAATCTGTTTCGAACTGCTTACATATCTTGAAAGACTTTTGTGAAAATTCTGGACCAAATATTGATTCGGAAGTGGAATCACCTACGGACATGTTTCTCATCGGCTTTTGGAACATATGGTTTTTCAAACTAATTTATATGCATTACAAAAATAAGGTGGTAATTCAACAAACACCTACTAACCTGAAAGACATAAAATGCTTTATTGCCATAAATTTAGCGATGGGCAAAAAACTGCCAAGTTATCGCGACTATTGGTCATCTCGGCCCGAGCTAAGAGATCCTTTTATAAGTTCTGCGATGGCCAGAGATAGATTTTCTTGGAAATTAGCTAATGTTCATCTAAATGACAACTCAGTGCAGCCAGGGAGAGATTCACCAAATTATGACAAATTATGTAAACTGCGTCCTTTATTGGATATTTTATCTGAGACTTACAAAAATTCTTTGAAGCCCTCAAAGAATCAATCCAAGGTCGCAGCGCGCTGAAACAATACCTGCCCATCAAACCGCTCAAAAAGGAATATAAGGTTTGGGTTCGGGCAGAAGAATCAGGATATGTTTGCCAATTTCAAATATATACAGGAAAAGTGGGCCAGATTGTAGAAACAAATCTTGGCTGCAGAGTGGTTCAAGATCTAACAAGAGACTTAGTTGGAAAAGGCTACCACATATATTTCGACAATGTTTTCAACTCTGTCGAACTTCAAAAACGTTAGCAGACTGAACTAATTTACGCTTGTGGGACGGTTAGAAAAGGACGAAAAAACTTACTAACAGATATAGTTGTGGACAAAGGTTTGAAAAGTCGACTGGCGAATCAGCATAGACGGATTGGCATTTGCAAAATGGATTGACAGTAGACCCGTCCATTTCCTTTCTAATTATTTGAATCCCAGCGAAACAGAATTTGTCCGTAGGAAGAAAAAAAAGGAGTCTGTCAAAAATATCGCTTGTCCGAAATTAGTCCAACTGTACAATATGCACATGGGATATGTCGGGGGACAAAGCCGACATGTAAAAATCTTTATATGAAGTGGACAGAAAGTCAAAAAAATGGTGGCATAGGATTCTCTTTTATTTTATAGATTTGTCACTGGTCAACGCGTTTATTTTGTACAAAATGAGAATTGATTCCCCAACACCATTACCCCTAAAAGTTTTTCGACTCTCTGTCGCGGTTGGATTAGTGGGCGCTGAAAAATATTTACCGAAGAAAGGTCGACCTTTAACAACAGCTGTAAACCACTTCAAACGGACAGTTCCGTACGAAGTTCGTTATGATTCCTGCGCGCATATGCCAATTTACGAGAAACCAGGAAGATGCGGTTAATGCAGTTCTAAAGCGGAACCACATAAATTCAGGTGGATTTGTTTATCTGCCACCCTAAATAGACCGGTAGTTTACAACTTTGGTCAGTTTAATTCGCACGTTCATTCGAAGCCCATATGTCACGGGAAATTAATCCAAGTCGACCTAATCAAGGTCAAAGAAATTCTTCCAGTAATCGGGTACCATCTAGTTCGTGGGATTTTCATCCTCAACTCTTGTCACTGCTAGTCACTGGGTATGAAGTGTTTGTGAGTATATTGTCTTAACTCATGTATATGTATAATTATTTGACTGACTTTTCATTGGGATCGGATGATAGTGATGGCCTCTATGAGCCTTTTGAAGAGCAATCCGATTCATTCCAATGCGACTTCCTCAGCAGAAGAATCTGATGCGAATATTGATCAATCGTCGGGGTATCAAGATGACCTACAATCGAAATGCTCTTCGAGCGGTACCCCAAAGTATCTGTTACTTCCACAAAATGTAGCCTCCTCTTCAGATCCGTTTGTGTTGTTTACTGAATCTGACGAATTATTGATTTCAAAAACAAAAAACATTCTCTAAGCGGAACTGCAGCTTATCTCCTAAATTTAATAGGAAATTTTACATACTACACTATACAAATACACATTTTTAGTTGTTTCAGAAATTGTTCCCACAGTCGTTGTTTGTTAACACGTTGACGGACAATTGCGGCTATAGCCGTCAAAGCGAAGTTCACAATGTGGCATGACTGCTATAGCCGTCCAAAACGAAACGGTCGTTTTTAGACACTACGGCTATAGCAGCACAAATGTGCACTTACTGGCGTATACGTAGAAGCATAGTGTC